ATTTTCGCAAAACTATGATCATGTTGGTTGACACGTTATTGCTTATCACCATCCAAAGGTACTGTATGCTGAACTAAGAATGTTAATTTCTTAAAACTTCTTTTTTTTCCAGAATCGGCGCAAACGCGTCATTTGGCTACATACTCGACCAACGATTGAGCCTTGTAATAAATGCGATATTACCCAAACCGAACGTAGATGTTCACACGCTATACGTAATCGGCTCGCTTGGCGACAAGGAGAACCCTATAAATTCTTTAGAGGCGGAATATCGGACTGATGTTACTAAGATAGTCACTGGTGTTAAGGGAAAGGTAAGTTATTATAGAATTTATTCAACATAACTGTTGACACCTTACATTCACGGACATTCCTGACTGCCGCAACGCTATCCTGAGATTGATTGTAAAAAAAATTGCGGACCTCAAATGAACTTGCATGGTTTTCCAAAATCCTGTCAGACCACAGACAGTTGGTTAGCGGTAGCCCTGGTGTGCCAATAGACGCTGGTTCGAGTTCAGTCAGATCGAAGGAGTTTTATTTTGTGTTCTTCGATCTTTCTATCAATAATAATGACAAACTAGTGGAGTATTTCCATTAAAAAATGTGTGAATATCATGATAGTAAAAAACATGATATTCAATAAAAATAAATAATAGTTTATGCTCTCAACGAAAACATAAACAGAATAATATACATGGTTAACGACATTTGCGCAACTATTGCGAAATAAATTTAAAAAATATAGCCGTTAAGAAATTTTCAAATTTTTAAAGTTAAGATTTTTTTATAATTCCAAGTGACGGGACTAACAAGTCGTGCGGCTCGTTGTAAGCGACACGCCTATCCATAACAGTTGCAGTGCCACTCAGAGCTTTAAATCGCAAAGATGTTAGGAACGCTGCCACTGCGCCCGTCACCCAAAGACATAAGTTGACAAATCCTAGTAATGCACATTACTGCTTGGCAGCAGAAATGGGTAAGGTGGCCGTACTACCCAGGACGAACTCTTTAACAAGGAGCTCTACTGCTACTCGATTACGATTACTACGATTACAGTTGCATTTTGGAAAAGCGACAAAGCTTTAAAAATAGTTTTTTATATTCTTGATAAAACTACGTTAATATATACTTTGTGTTATTTTTAGTTTATTTTGTTTTTTTTTTCTTCTATCGTAATCACCACATTCTCGACACCACACCGTTGTCTTAACGCAAGTAAATCAATAAAATTTAAGTAAGCCTAAACCTTAAGTTAGCTGGTACTCGGCAACGTGACGTACCTATAATGAGACGTATCAAAGATGATGAGTGTAGCTTTGTGGGTTTTATCCTGATAAGAGATGGTGAAATGATGAACTATGAACTTTTATCAATAGCAATTAGCACTTTAAAAATATACAAAATTAGTGAAAGAATTTATAAAGTTAAAAATATCGTTCGTTAGGTGAAGCTCGCAATTGGATCTCTCCCACTCGTGAGTTGCCTGCGCCTCCCGCATCCTCCCCAGCCCCGTCTTTGGCTCACATCAATGAGTATAATAAAATGAAATTTAATTACTTTCAGCTCCAACTGCTTGCTGACACATTCGACACGAACTCAACAATAACATGGACTTCTGCATCTGGGTACAAAAACGTAGAAAACTTAGTTCTATACAAATGGGACGTGAACGGATCACATTTCGTCGACTATACGTTGAAATCGCCGTTATACCTAAACGATGACACTTTCAAACTAAAAGGCTCATATCAAAAGGATATGGTGCATCACTACCAGATTGTCAAGTAAGTATTACTATTTCTCTTCAATTTCATAAATACTTTATTTCTGCGATATGGTTGTCAACAAGTGCGACTACGCGTGTAGCTAGACGCCAAAAGGTCAACAAATGCACCTGCGCGTATAGCTAGTCGCCAAAAGGTCAACAAGTGCACCTGCGCGTGTGTAGCTAGTCGCCAAAAGGTCGACAAGTGCAGTTGTTACAGTAATAATATGACATATTAGTTTTCAAACAAATTAAATGACATTTGTCTCTATTTCTGGTTATATATTCAATGCCCTACCATTACTTGTGCTAACGAATCTCAAATATTGTAACAACTGAAAAAACGCCATTTATACCAAAAGTAAATATGAAATTTAATGACAAGGACCTCTAATCGTCTTAAGACCCGTATACAATTAAGTTTATGTGGATCAACTAAAATCTTTTTTAATTATATCAAATGATGGGACGACCAAGTCATATGCCTAGTGACAAGCGAAACGCCTATCCATAACTGTTACTGTACAACTCAGAGCTTTTTTTAGGGGCCTAATGCATAGACCAGGCAAAAGTCAAATTGGGGAGCTGGACATCCGCTACGGAGGTTTTAAACACACCGACGGCCATTTCAACATGACCACGCCATTCCAGAGACTGCCATGGCTGAAATCTATATTTGACGTAAGTTTTTTAAATATCTTTCACTCTACATATGCGAAACGTCGTCACCCAGTCTTGCATCATTTTGACAACGGAAACTTACGAAACACCTAATAACTTCGACATCCTCAATAACCCAGCATTGTGGGCGCTGGATGAAATGGTCCCGGATTCGATTCCCGGTAGGACCAATTTGAGAAATGAACTTTTCTAAGTTAATTCTGGTTTGGATGTACTGAGGAGTGCCCCAGATCGAATTCCGCTGTTCTGGTACTAATAGTACATGGGATTTCCTAGTTTGAGACCAGGCAATTCGGTGTAGTAGTCTGGCTCATTATTTTTGTGTTGACAACACAAAAATAGTGTGTCAAAAACCAGATATAAAAATCCGACAAACAAGCACATAGAAAAATTCTTGAGGTCAGCTGTTTCGTTTCGTGGCTTAGTTGGCATAGCGTCTGGCACAGTTTGCTAAAAGACGTCGGTTCGAATCCGGCCGGATCGAAGGATTTTTTCTAAGTGTAATGTTTGTACTAACAATTATAACGAACTAGTAGACTAATTTCACAAAAACTAATTGAATATCATGGTAGTGGACATCATCCTGACATAAAATAAAACACTTAACTTTTCTAATATTTATTTCATAAATATCATGAGTTATTATTATTTCTTTGTGACAGATTAACAACCAAGATCAATCATCAGATAACAAAGTAGATATATTCTGGCCAAACAAGACTGTTTCAATAAACACAACGCATCATTACAAGAAGGAAGGTCCAGGCTTTACACAAAACGGAGTAGTTTCGATCTCCTTACCACTGAATACGCAGCATTTGGTACATACGCAGTATTACTACATACAAGGTTAGTCTTTACCTATAGTATAAAAATTTAGGTTATTAACTAAAAGTAAACAATCTTCAACTGTCACTGGCAAGCGAAGCAAACGTAGTTTAATGGCGTCGTGTTAACAGGTCAAATACAATATTTAGTAGTGAGTTTCAAACATCGTATTACTGTCGTGCTCTTTAATTTGGTAGCATGTTACTAGTTGTCTATCTTATTAAAGTCTTCGAACTTCTGGATGTTAGGTTGTTTATCACAGGAAAGTTGTAATATGTGATATTAACATCTATACATAAACATCTTTATTTAAATATTTAATTTATGCCGTTTCGATAGTATCTATAGTCCATTTGTTTATTAGGTACTTAACTAAATGTAAACAAACTTGATACATCTTTTTATTATGAAACATATGCTTTAGAAATTAATAGATATGAAAAAAGGCATGCAATTTCATGTCAAACTAAGTTTGTATTTGAAGGTAAGTAAAAGTCTCAAGATTGTTTACATTTAGTTGAGTACCTAAACAATTGGACTATAATAGCATTATAGGTAGTATGAAATGTTGTCTATTAGCTGAAAGTATCATATATTTAGAACCATTTTCAAATAGTTCGTTATAATTTTACAATAAGTAACTGGTAAGGCCTCATAGAAGACCTCATTATGGTTTGTTTTTATTTAGCTAATTGCAACCTTTAAAGTATACAGTTTTTTTGACTGTCTATTGGTAGTGTCTCATAGCGCCACAAAGCGGTCGGATTTTTCATTATAGTTTGTTATTCTATTTATTATTAACCATTGTTACAGTATATCATTCAACTATTTATAATTTTCTACATTTTTGCTTTGCTTTTCTTCTATGCTATTTTTATTTTTTAGACAGGAAAAAGAGTTTTGCAGGGTAACCATTTTTCGTAAACTTTTATATGGTCATAGTTGTTGTTGCAAGTTTTATCGTTAAATTGTGAAGGGAGATAAAATAAAATTATTAATACACACAATCATAGTTTTAGCGAAAATGGCACCTAAAAAATTTTTCGATGTTGATAATTTGTTCTAAAATTTAGGTACTTATAAAATGAAAACTTTTGCTGTTGTGCTTGTTGTTGTTGCGGAATTATAGTAATAAATCACAACAATTCTTTGTCACTGAGGTGACAACAGCAAAAGTTGTCATTTTATAAGTACCTAAATTTTAGAACAAACTATCTAAAATAACGAAAAAAGCTTAGGTGCCATCTTCGCACAACTATTATCATGTTCGTTGACACGTTGTTGCTTATCAGCATCCAGTTGCATTGGCACCTTCTTTATTCTTATTTTCAAAGATGTATCGAAATGGATTCATGGAGTATAGAGGCACGATGTTATGCTTCCTAAATATCGAGTGTCTATACACTATACACTATAGCCAGAAATAGAGACGAAATGTCATTTAATTTGTTTGAAAACTATTTTGTCAAGTCATTGCGATGACAACTGCGCTCCGATTGGCCAGCCTTAATTCGAAACAATTGACGGGTGTCGTCAATTGTTTCACTTCAAGTCTACCAGTTTAACTTGAGCTTTGCTGTAATGGACGAAAATTGAAAAATTACATATTTAACAGTTAATTACCGATGAAATGTGATTCCGTTTGTTTTGTAATAGGATGTTTTGCTGATTTTTCCCACACCACCTAATGGAACAGTTAGAGATTATTATCTTTATTACAATAAACACAGAATGTTTTTGGAATATACGGAGACGTACACACAGGTCAGTTATTGGCGCTGTACTATTTCAGCTTTGGAATTAGTGATTTCAGTACAAACGAGAATAATATTTAAAAGTGATATAAGGCCCATTTGCCTGATGACTTGCCAGGGATGGACGACCCTTATTTCGTCACTATTTCTGGTTATATGTTCGATGTTCCTAAATGATAATCTATTTTTATAATATATTTTTTGCATTCTATTATCATAGCATCCCTTAACCCCCATTGAATTAATTCTAACATCTTCTCAGGTGACAAATGGAGCAACGGTAACACGACAATAGAGTTCGATGGTGAACAATTCGTCAAAGGCTCGTTCAAACAAATCTTGAGAACTAGCGATCGTAATTTGGAACTGGCCACGACCGACATTGAAGTCGAAAACGAACATACTCCTGTGGGTATAAAGTACATTCACGAGTATGATTCTACGGGAAACATTGTAAGTGAATATTTATCTATTAAGTTATTTATTTTTACGGATAAATTTAATTCCCTTTTTTTTTTCAAAAGAACAGTGACTCAAACCTTGATATTTGTTTGCAAATTGTACAGCTGGGACTAAATTTTATGGTGAATAAGAAAACAATATTTCTATTGGTTAAAGTAATCACGAGACAACTTTCATCATCGGCTTTGCTAGCTAGTTATGCCTTTGTTTTTTTTTAAACCGTATTCGTGCTGAAATTAACCTCTTTGAGATTGGTCGTTATTGCAGAAAGTCATGGAATGGTTTCATTTATGGCGTAAATTACTTTTTCGCTTCTCATGCTTTAGAAGTACGGCAATATAGTCTTACGTAGCGGGAGTAAAGTGCATCCTTTAATCCCTAGGAAGTAAAAGGTACCTAATCTTTTAATTTACTTCCAGTGAACAAACTCAAACAGCCAGAAGTACGCTCGGTTTTAGTTCCGCGCCTTTTCTTCATAGACGATGGCGCCATATTATTTTCCCGCGTCAGTGCGTTTGTTGTATCCATGTCTGGCAGGAAAAAAAAAACCTTCAAAAAACTTCACAATTTTCATTCGTAATTTTGTTGAAGAACGAAAACTATTGAAATATTTTTTTCTCGCAATGGAAGTGAAAACTAAAGTTTTCATCTCGTAACTAAAAGCCAATATAAACCTTCGGAGTAATAGGCACCGCCTCGGGTATATATTGACACGTTTTAGTATCTCGATAAAAAATATACTATTGTTAGGAATCAGGAGTAGGAATCATTAAAAAAAACAATTTTATTAACAATGACGGTAATTTACTAAATTCAAAATAATTATTCAAATCGTATAAACAAAACGCTTCTACTAGCAACACTGATTCTAATGACCAACTGAGATACACATTCAGTAAATCAACATAATAGCACAAAATAATACATAAGTGTACAGAACTCACTTGACACGACGTGCACGCACCAAACGCTCGAACAACAATGGTGCTGTTAGTGAGTTCCGCTGCCTTTTATAGGAAAAGATAGGGTAGTAGGGGAGGCTTTGCTAACACGGCCTCTCCTGATACACCGTCGTCCCCGTCGGTAATTTATCGACAGGAAAGGGGTTGTTACTCCAAGGTACGGTCTAGTCTAGTAGGGGCATTGACAATCCAACGCCTTGGTCTCGCGGAGGTGTCTTCGTGGACCCGTCGCAAATTCCAGCTGCAGATGATTCCCCTTCAGCATCTAAGTCCAGGTTAGGCATCGACAGCCCAATACTTGAACTCGGCGGTGGAATGGACGCTGAGGGTCCTGCTTCAGAGTCATCTGTGTCATTATCTGTAAGCAACCAACATGACATGGCGTCTTTCGATATCTAACACTCATTTTTATCTTGTTATTAGGGCACATATTTATACGCAATAAGTTGAAACATCACATAGAAAGCTAGGCGTCCCCATCTGACTATGCAATGCCTTATACGATACCAAAGTACTGAGGAAGATGCAGACTGGCACTACTTAGACGTGCTAGTAGGAAACGACTGCATCCCGCGGTGAGGTGTTGTCATCAACAGGGCTCCTCTCGCAGGTGATGACTAGCGCTGGGATTGGTGCCCGTTGTCCATGTGATATTCAGTTATAATGGCGACTAACGCCAGGTGCGACTAACGCAATGGGTAGCGACTAACGCTAAGTAGGCGACTATCGTAATGAACAGCGACTTACGCTGAATAGGCGACTAACGCCTGGTGCGACTAACGCAGTATATAGCGACTAACGCTAAGTAGGCGACTAACGTAATGAACAGCGACTTACGCTGAATAGGCGACTAACGCCTGATGCGACTAACGCAGTATATAGCGACTAACGCTAAGTAGGCAACTAATGCAAAAAAAACTTACTTTCAAAAAATGATGCACATGTTTCTGGGCACCACTCTCCTCGCCATGGCACCATGTATTGTGCCGCTGCTTGTGTGATTTTGCCGTAACCTCCGCTGAGTAACTCTAGCTCATACCGTCCCTTGGACAGAACCTTTAATACTTTGTAGGGCCCTCGCATTCCTGGATCTAGTTTGCCCGTAGATTGGGAGTACTTTATCACGAATACCAGGTCTCCGACTTGATATACTCGAGGTGGACGTGTTTGTCTGTTGGCGCGCACGTCCTGTTGCTCCTGATTTTTCTTGAGTAATTCACTTGCTCTACTTCTATAAAGTTCGCGACAAGCCTCTCTATTTGATGTCCTGTCTTCGATGGCTACGTCGCGTATTAACGCGCGAATCACGGGAGTAGTTGCTTCAATCCCAATCATCAAGTTCAATGCAGAAGCTTGGGTGGTCTTTTGTTTAGTCATATTTAAGACTAGCTGAAGCTTCCAAAGAATGTCTGACCACGAGGAGTTTTTGTGATTTACTTCTATGCGCAACATATTTAAAACGGTGCGCATATATCTTTCCACTTGGCCATTAGATCTGTGCATTTCCGGGGTGATATAATGAATGTCGCTCCCCAGTTCAGACATCCACGAGACAAACTCGCTAGACACAAACATGCGTCCTCTGTCTGCCACTATCAGCTTCGGTACTCCAAACAAGGAGATTGCTTGAACTAGTACTCTTTTTAGTTCACTAACATCTTGGCGATATATTGGGTAGAGGAGGCAGAATTTAGTAAACGCATCTACTAATATTAGCACAAACTTATATCCCTCGGATGTTGGTAAAGGACCTAATGCATCAATATGCACGGTACTAAAAGGAACATCTGGTTTTTCCCATGAGGTGACGGTTTGGAGTGGGGTCCTAGGAACTCGCTTCTTCGAGACGCACACCAAACAATGGGCTATATATTTTTGGACGAACTGTCGTAAACCCGGAAACCAAAAGTGTTTTAATATGAGCGTCATTGTTTTATCGGAGTCTATGTGTTCATGCTCATCGTGGAACACCCTGAGTAAACTCAGTCGATGTCCCTTGGGAACGTAGCATAGCAGACGTGGTACCTCTCCTACGGGTGTATACTTATAGTAAAGAATGTCTTTTTGCATGAGGTATCGTGTTGAGTCTAAGCTACCATCTTGTAACTGCTGTATTAAGTCATGGGTCTCGTTGTCAGCGGCTTGCGCTATTTGAGCCCAGTTTCGTGGTTTGGAAATCTGGTGCACCTGGATAGGTGGGTTCCTGCTCAAGTAGTCCGCATGAGACAACATAGTCCCTTTCCTATACTCAACGTTAAAATGAAAGTCTTGTAGGTAAATCCACCAGCGTGCTACACGTGGGAGAAGGTCCTTTTTACGTTCGGTGGCCTTGAAAGCATTGCAGTCAGTGACGACTTTAAAGTGTATCCCTACTAGGTAGTGACGGAAGTGCTGCAGTGCTTTCACGACCGCCAGCGTTTCCAACTCATAAGAGTGGTATTTTTGTTCGGCACCCTGGGTCACCTTGCTGTAGTAGGCCACAACGTGTCTTTTGCCGTCCTCATGAGTCTGTAGGAGAACAGCCCCATAACCTATACTGCTCGCGTCTGTATGGACTTCTGTTGACAATTTGGGATTGAATATGACAAGGACCGGTTCATGGGTTAAAACATCTATGAGTTCCTGACGAACCTTCTCCTGTTCTGGACCCCAGTAAAATTCCGCATTTCGTTTCGTTAAACGGGCAATGCAAGCTGTCTTAGTTGAGTATCCCTTAATATAGCGCCGAAAATATCCGGCCAGTCCTAAAAATTGCCTGACTTGACGGACATTGGTGGGCACTGGAGCATTAACAAGTGCTTCCACTTTGTGAGGGCTCGGCCTAACCTGACCTTGACTAACGATCCGACCCAGATACTCGACTTGCGTTGCTAAAAATGTGCATTTCCGAAGATTTATGGAAAATCCGGCTTCGGTAAGGGTCTGCATAACTTGTCGTAGCAAAACAATACCTTCCTCCTTGGTAGAACTCATAATTGAAACATCATCGACGTAAACTAACACCTGACCGGCATCTATGAATTTTCGAAGGGTGTTATTTATTATTCGTTGGTATACTATGGGAGAGTTGGTTAAGCCATAAGGCATTTTGATATATTCAAAATGACCTTCGGGGGTCACAAAACCCGTGAGCGGAATCGAATCTTTGCTTAGCGGTATCTGGTGGAAACCGGTAGCCATATCTAAGCTGGTGAAGAATTTGAAGTTCCCCAATCGGTCGATGTGGTCATCGATCAACGGTAATGGATACCGTTCCTTTATAGTCGACCGATTGAGTGCCCTGAAGTCTACACACATACGGTCTGACCCATCCTTCTTTTTCACCAGAATTATTGGGCTCGCGTATTCGGATTGGGATTCTCTAATGATTCCCTTGCTCAATAGGTCACTAATAATTTCGCGGGCTCTCAGCTTCTCATCGTACGAAAGCTTGTACGGGCGGTATACGACTGGTGTATGATTGGACAACTTTATCTGCATTTCCCCGGTCTTTACCGTGGTCATAGCCGTGCCAGAAATCAAGAACTTTGAGTATTCGTTGATGACTTCCATCAAGCAATCACGATCTGTACCTTGCAGTGGCGTGTTTATTTCGACTGATTCCGGTTTCTGAATTAAATTGAGTCGAGTCGGGATTCCCTCAGAATGAGTCAGACATTGTCGGTCCTTTGTCCTTACATAGGTGATGCCGTCGCGATTAAGAATGTCGGTCCCGATAATGATGGGAGTGGACATGTATCTAGAGGGTACGACCATAAGATCAGCCTCTATGGAAATCTCGCTCAACTCAATATTCACAGTGATATAGGATGTGGCTGTAATTTCGTGATCGCTGATGCCCTTTAAGATACAATGAGTGGGTTTTGGCTGGCGCGATAAGTACTTCAGAACACCTGAAGAGATCAGAGAAACGTTCAAGGCACCGCTGTCAATGAGGACGTCCATAGGTATTCCCTCAACAACAGCTACAGTAATATCGCTGTTCGTACTCGCCTTTTTATTGTCCGATAAATCGGAGCACAAATTGACGTTGCGTTGGTTGCGGGTTTCTGAACGATTTTTGGCAAAGCATATGTCCTCGGAGTGACCTGACTTTTTACAAAATGTGCAGGATACGACAGGTTTTGGCGCGCTATTAGGATTACGATCCAGGTTTGATTTCCTAGGGCAGTTGCGACCTATGTGACCTCTCTGACTGCAATTAAAACATTTGGGTTCCTGGTGATTCTTTGAACCATGTAGTGGGCGTCTCTTAAGCGTTGGTTGCGGCTCTTGCTTCCTACGAGCCGGTTTTGTATAAATAGATAGGAAAGACACCAGGTTTTCCGGAGTCAGGTCCGCATTTGCTGCCGCCGCTCGGACCTGAGGGTTGTCTATACCGCGAATCACAATGGAGGTCATAAGTTCGCTGCTGAGACCCTTAACTATCTTTAGGCGA